TCAAATTGCCCACTTGTTACGGCTATGTTTGTATCTGTTCTTAAAAATAGAAGCCACTTCTTTCTCCATATTCCGTAGTGTGTTCAAATGCTCGGCCAAAACTCCTTTAATTTGAAACGGTGCACCTGAAAGTGCTAAAATCTGGACATCACATGATTGTGTCCGACCGTCCAATAGCGCCCTCTTCTTTGTATAGTAAGTTAAAGTTGTGTCATTCTCCATAAACTAACGTCTGAAACTAGCTGAACGACTTATATCTTTTCTTTCAGCTCCCTGCTTTGTCTTTGTTCACTTGTACATTTTATTTGCTTTTTCTTTTTGCGGTTATTAATTTTGTTAAAAAAATCTAAAAATTCTATGAAGAACGAAGTCTCTAAACTAAAGCTTGTTGATTTTGTTTTAAAAAAGTCCAGTGAAGACTGTGGTGCTTGGAATATTCGGTCTAAAATACTGAAAAATGAGTGGACATTTTTAAGAACAGATGAAGCCGATGCTGGTGACCTCTGACCTCTACAGTGGGCTTTTACTACATGTGTTGTGTCTAGACCCTTGGAGAATCATAAAACCTTGAAGTTTAAGTGTGTGTGTGTGTGTGTGTGTGTTTCCCATCACTTGCCCGTTTCTTCTCATCCACCTACTCTCCCTTTCACCTCTTTCTTACACACACACACCTTACCACATGCATGTGCACGCACACACACAAACACACACAGACAGTTGACAGTTAGCAGGGATGTTTCAGTTTTTCGTCCGAGTCTCTGTGTGCACGGACACACACACACACACACACACACACACACACTATCTAGTGTGGAATGTTTGCTCTGTTGGGGTCCTGTTACGAGGGGGAGGGTGCAGTTCGTCTGTCTGACCTGTCTGGCTATCAGACACACTCCAACAATAGTTGAACAGAAACAAAAAAAAAGTTCTTAAAAAGGAGTAAATTTGGAGAATTTATAGGCAGTCACACGCCTGTGGTCAAAGAAAACAACGTGTCTGTTTTCACGCAGCTCAGTTTCTAATCTCACACCTTATCACAGGGTGAAAAGCCGTCCCTCAGACCTGTTACGGCATTTATCTGTTAAAAATACCATTATAGCGAGAAGGTGGGGAGATAATGACAGAGGCGCAGGATTACAGATGGAGACCAGTCACAGAGTGAAATGTGTTCCAGAAACAGATGTCAAAGGAGAAGCCAACACCTGAGTGATGTTCAGCTGTGTAATGATCGCTCCTCCAGGAACTGAACTCAGTACGGTTACGTCTAAGTAGCTAAGATTATACCTCAGCTCCTGGATGCTGTGTTGGGTTATGACGTCGGTGACCCAAATGACACTTGGACAGAAGGGAGAAGAATGAATAAAAAGGTCAAAGACACCTGCCTTTCATGAGAGAAAATTAAAAATTCATCAAATTTATTTGATCAGGATTTTTAACCCTAACAAAATTCATAAAAGATTCATTTTGAAACAAAAGCATTTTCAGCCAAACTTGAAAACTTTTTATTTAAACACTGAAAAAAAAAACCCCAACAAAAAACATTTGTTTTGTCTCTTCTGAGGACTGGTATCTTTGAAAAAGAAAAAAAAAAAAAGAAATGAAACCAGATACAAAGTGTTCTAGAGTTTAAAACAAATATTTTTTTCCCAGGTCCATTTGAGTTTGGTTAAAAACAATATTTGGTTTAATTTTCATGAATTAACTTTTCAAATGTAATGTAACGCAGCTCAACACTCGACACAGACTGATACTGATTTAACCTGTTTGAAACTCCTTTTATTTCCACAAATAAAAAAAACCTAGAACTTTTGACTTGTATTAAACTAAGAAGAGGAAAGCACTGGAAAACTCTCTGTCCTCCCTCTCCGTCCTCCCTCTCCGTCCTCCCTCTCCGTCCTCCCTCTCCGTCCTCCCTCTCTGTCCATAACATTTACTACTCTTTCCATGTTGTTCCTCCACTAACACCTCCCACCTCCTCTTTTATCCCTCCCTTTCTCCTCCCTCTTTGGTGCTGGAGGAGAAAAGCGATGAACCTGAGACTTTGAAACAAACCAGAGAGCCGGCAGCAGAGAGAGAGCACACACTCACACACACTCTCTCTCTCACACACACATCATGCTGACAGCTGTTGAGCGCTGACGGATCTGCAGTGAGCGACGCTGGACAGCGGAGCTGAGGTAGGCTCGTAGCAGCTGTGACTGGTGATGACCTCACTGCTGTTACATAAAAAACAGGAATGGCTACCAGATATGTGTGATTTAAAAAAAAAAAAGTTTATCTCAGTGTGACAGTGTCAGTCAGAGTTTTACCAGTTTATTGATGTTATTTTGTGTTTATTCTCAGAACTGACTTCACAGGGTTTAACTGTCTCACTTGTTTGACTTCCTTTGAAGACTTTTGATTATATTAAAAAAAAAAAAAAGTTTGACAGTTGATCACCTTTTGAAGATCAAGCCGTGTCTCTTTTGTTCTCAGAGTGGAGACTGTTGACATTGAGACGCAGAGCTTTCTAGGAGAAGACATCCCAAGACAGAGCTCCAGGACTGGGGATAAATTAGACCTGACCCTTGACCTCCCCTGCAGACTTTCACCTCCCAACCTTTGTCTGTTAGTCCCCACCCCTTCCACCCTCACCCTCAGCACACAGACCGAGGCTTCACTCTCTTCACACTGAGAGGTTGTGTCTCGTCCAGTGCAGACAGAAGAACTCATGGAGGCACCGACGCTGGCCGAGATGGGAGATCTTTGTCAGCAGTGCTCTCCCTCTCCGGAGGGGGAGACTGTGTGCTCGGCTCTCACCCGTTATGAGAACACGCTCAGGGATGCCATCAGAGAGATCCACTTGGACGTCAGTGCCTTTAAGTTGGGCATGGAGCGGCGTCTGGAGGAGACGGCCAATCAGAGCGGGCCTCTGGGCCGGGCCGTGGCTCAGCTCCAGCAGGAGAACAGGCAGCTGAGGAGTCAGCTGGAGGCTCTGGCTCAACAGGTGGAGCTTTTGAGCGCGATCAGGTGTGATCGGAGCGGCGTGAAGAACAACAACTACAACGGCCTGAATCACAAGAACCACCTCAATGACATTCAGGAGAATCATGCCGAGATTAAAGAGGTGGTCTACGGTAAAGGTCAGGCCAATGTCCACATCCAGCCCTGCTCCCTGGGGAGTCCGACCCAGGCTTACAATGGCTCGAGCAGTCAGACCAGCCCTCCGTCGCCCACGGCCACCTTCCCAACCTCCCCCAGCTCCAGCAGTCCTCCAGCCACCTCCAGGGTTTCCTCCATGGTGACCGGCCCGGTGTCCAGCAGCCCATCCACCGCTCGCTTCTCCAGCAGAGCCACGTTTGCCGTCTCCAGCAAAACAAACGTGAGTACTGCATTTCATGCTTCATGTCTTGTGTTGGTTGGTTGTTCTGCTTATGTAGCGCTAATTCCGGTTTAAACATTTAGTGTTTGTTGTGTGTAAACTTTCTTGTGTTAACCTGACAAACTATAGCGTACGTATACTGTAGGCTTTAAAAAGTCTTTCACTTCATTAAAAAGGTTTATTTTACAAATTTTAAAATAAACAACATTTCATTTCCTCTAAGGTCAGAGGTTGATCCTGATCCTCCCCCTCATTTCTACTTTCTCTCATTTCTACTTCTTTAGGTTTTAAAAGTGTATGACATTCTTTTAATTCCTTTGCTGTCAGCTATCTATTCTTCACACAGTGATTGTCTCAAAAAAGTCCAAAAGTCATCAGCAAAGAAACTGACTTTATGGCTGGGCTAAATCATACACAATGTATTGACTATAATGACTGCACAATAATTACTAACACCACTTAGTGATGAACTTTAATCCATCTGTTTGTCGATTTTAGTGATTTGATTCAGGACTTTTTAAAATGGTATTACTACTGCAATATTATTTTGTCTTATTTTATTTGGTCAATCTAGAGAAGGGCAGTGTGTAAAATGGTTAAAATGGACTAGTTTATTATGGAATATTGTGATTCATCACATTTCATTGTAACTTATTTTAGAATGGAAAGAGAAACAGTCTCTGCTACAGAGACTCCATATAAGGAAAAGAACAACACTGGTTTAACTGCAGTAACAGTGATTAAACAGTCGGTGACGGAACACCTAGAGCAGTGAAGCAGATCGAGACGGGAAATGATGAATTAATGAAAGCAAAAGTAAAACTGAAGAACACAATGATGTCAACCACACAAAGTACCTGATTAGATTTGTCTGAAGTTTTACTTCCATAAACCACTGAGGTTGGAGCTGTTACTGAAAATAACTTACCATCACAGTGGCACATGTTCTTAATGCTCAACATACTGTATAATTGTTTGAGTATCAGATTATATATTCAGGTTAGGGACGTCCGATATTTTCATCACAGTGGCACATGTTCTTAATGCTTAAAATACCATATAATTGTTTATAATTGAGTATCAGATTAATAAACTTAATTAATTAACTAATTTCTGATTAGGCCTGGTAATATTTATCTATTTATCTCTACAACCCACTATATGAGTGTCAGATTAATTAAATGAGCTGCAGTGCTGCCATCTAGTGAGTTTCACTTTACTATACATCAGTTTATCCCCAAAATTATTTTTAGGGCACGCATCATCTGGCAAAACCAGACCCGTATTGCGATTTTGGGTTTTCATTATCGGAGGAAAAAACGATATTATCGGCCCGACGCCTTTATTCAGGTACAGGACACTTTGTACTAAAGTCATTTAGTCCTGGTAAATCCTCAGTGACCCCACAGCAGCTCAGAGTGGAGACAGACATGGATGGAAAAACCAGAGTACAATGGCAGAGGCCATAATCCAGTAATTGCTGTGTAATTTCCTGGTTTGCGTTAGGGCACCAGTGTGGACAGGCAGAATGAAGCCGTTGTTATTGCAGCAGAGTGGATGTGTGTACGACACTCAGTGTCACTGTGTGTTGGGCTGCAGCAGGATGCTGTGGGATTACGAAGTACAGTAACATGAGTGGCGAAGGCTCCTGGGAGGTGCGGTCAGTGCGGTGGTGTAGCTCCAGTCAAATATGTTAAATTGGTGTTGTGAAATGTTGAGTGCTGCGGTCAGACATTATCACGGTACTGCTTTTAGAGGTACTTAGTTTTAGCCGGGTGATTAAGTTCTTTCTTTAAAAAGAAATACTGGCTCAGAATATATACTGTATTCAGGGTTAGGAATTATAGTTTATTTATGAAAAGCAGAATTACCTTGAACCCAATTTATATTTCATTATCCATAGCTCGTCAGCACCAAAGTGCAGACTGTGAAAAACTACCCAAATGTTTTATTCATTTTTCATCCCTTGTATTTTTTCTTTCTGTATTTTTTCCTCCTTACATGTTATGGCAAGAGATAATTCCTGGATTCTCAGGTCAAGGTGACTTACACCTCAGCCAGTACATTATCATCAGGTCAATCATTCATAGGAATAGTGGTTAGCTGGGGGTCATTTTTATTTTAGTAGCTTTTCCTGAGTAATAAACAGTGATAACACAACGACCACATCGTCGTCTTTTTTTCTGATTTGTCTTTTATTGAAGGGACAAAAAGGAGGATTTCCTAGTTTCCATGTTACATTAGTCATCTGTTAACAGAGGAGTCTGCCATTTTCCAGGTTTCCACTGGATTGAAAATGAATTTGATTTTAAGAGCTGAGAGGACGTGATGTCACCGGTCACTGGTCATAATTTCCAGCTCTTATGTGTTCAGAAAAGTCTGAATGGTGAAGATTAGCATCGATGACAAATGCGTACAAGAGGATGGTTAAGATTAGAAGTGATGTGAAGGATTTTTGAAAAATACTTTAATATAATATTTTGACAAAAATAGATTCAGTTTTTTCAGTTTCTTCTTCCAAGTTTCTTCTTTTCATACAACATCTGGTTCATTGTGTTGCAGTTTGGCAGCAGAGTGACTTCAGTTTCAGCATTCATTTTCATTAGCGTCTACACCAGTGAGGTTCCAACTCGTCTGGAGTTGGAACCTGTAAAGTATTTGAACACAGAGTAATACACACAGTACGTGTATTATTCTAAGATTTTAATACCTTATTACAGTTTTATTATATAAACGAATGCGCTTTAGTTTCTACTTTATTGTCTGAGCTGACGTTGCTCACTGTTGTAAACATTTTGATTTTTGGAAATATTTACACAGTGGAAATACAAGGTAAGGAGTTTAATTTCAGTTGGTTGAAGGTGTGTATCATGGGGTACACTGGGGTACACTGGGGTACACTGGGGTACACTGGGGTACACTGGGGTACATGATACCATGAGGAAATACTATGAGGTGAGGCAGTAGGAAGTAAAAATGGCTCGATGATACAAAAAGTGTGTGAATGTGACCCAATGTTGGGTTGTGTGTTTGAAGAAACCAGGTTTTGTTCACGTAAATTCAAGTATATTCAAAAACTGCAAGTTTTGTAGTGTCCAGCTCAAGCCAGCAGGTGTCACATTTTATGATTCGTTTCAGTAGGCGCAGGGTAACCGATACAGTAAATGTGTATTTACACGTCATATTTGTTCTGGACAACTGAACATATGTGACCTTTGGACAAATGTTATATTTAGAGCCCTGGTCTACAGCAGTTGTGATAAGATTATACTATACTTGGTGTTTAAATATTTACATTATTTAATTGGATACTGTTTTCAGAGCAGGAGGTCGTCATCTCCGTCTGCTGAGGCCATATCTGTAAACACACTCTCTTTATGGATCATTCACGTTTGTTTCTTGTAACCTTTTTTTGTTTGTTTTTTTTTGTTTGCCAAAGCCTGTCACACAGTCGAGCAGATATCCCTTCTCTGTGCACACATCATGCAAATGGCTCTACTACCTCTTTTAGCTGTAATTACCAAAGTACGAGGTTGAATAGAACAGAGGAATGTTATCTTCTGTGAAATCATGTGGTCAGAGTTTGACAACACAAGGGTACCTTTGTTTGTGTGTGTCTGCCGTGGCTGGACCCCTGCTGTCAGCTCAATACACACACACACACACACACACACAGCTCACTCTCACTTAAAACCTGGCAACAAACGGGACACGCAAGATTTCAAGTAAAACTGTACAATGAATGAAAAATTTGTATTTTTTTAGATAGGAGATTTTGATTTGTTGCTGCTGTTGTCAGATTAAGTACAGTATTTTGAATATTTGTTATTTTAGTTCATCTAATTTCCTTAAATTTCCAAATACACACTGTGTCACTGAGGACATGGATGTCCAAGATCAGTGGGAAGAAACAAATAAATGCTGTTAGAAACACTGCTTTAGTGGAAAAGTTTTACAGTATTTTTCGAACTATAAGTCGCACCAGCCAAAAAATACATAATGAAGAAGAAAAAGCATATATAAGTTGCTCCGGCCAGCTAGAGTGCCCTCTAGCGGCTGTCAATGTGAAAATAACAAATGTAAAATTACATATTTTAATATATAAGTCGCAAACCTAACCAAAGGATGATGAAAAAAAAGTGCGGCATATAGTCCGAAAATACGGTAATAAAGGCTTCAATATGGTCTGAATCAGGGCTCCCAGAATCCCCTGCTGACATTTTCAGCTACACTGAACTTAACCTTTACTCTGATGTTTACATAGTGAATTCATGCCTGGATACGTGTCCTGAAACTAGTGTTCTAAAAAACTCTCAACTGTCACTTTAATGGCTGGACTCCAAGCTGAAGTCTTCCTCTGCAGAACTATGTCTGTGTAGGATTCTGCTCCCCAGCTGTTACTAGGCAACACACACACCTGCACATGCTCACTCGCCTCCAGGACACACCTGTGGCGGCCTGTGCCGACTCTGTGTGATGTATGTTGAAAACCCACCTGCAGCCGGTACATCACAGGGAAGCGTCTCCTCTCTTCTCCCTGGGCTTCAAACCAGAGACCAGGTGAAGTATGTGGAGATCATTTAATCAGCGGAGGTGAATGGTACAGCACAGCCTTCTGTGTGTGTGTGTGTGTGTGACCAGACTTGTCACTAATATTATTCACCGTTTGCTTATATAAGACCGCAGTTCTTGTGTGGCGATATCTGAGAAGCTCTGTCATAGTTCACTGGCTCTGGTCCACTCTTCTGATTCACGACCGTGGAATTCACATCAAATACTTGAATGAATGAATGAAAATCCAGCTGTGTGTGTAAGTGTGTGCGGCTGTGAGGTTCGTAAAGAAGCAGCTGTAACTGTTTCCTGTCCGTTAATGGTTCTGAGCAGCGGGATTTAGTCAAGATTAGGATTAGGGACAGAGACTCCAGCCTAAATGACCAGTCTCGAATACTCTTTGACAACACACACACACACACAAACACACACACACACCGTCTGTAGAC